CAGTTGCATCGGTAGTTCGGTATCATACAGAAGTAAAAAAAGGCGTATGGGACGATGGAATCTTTAATTAATATGAAATGAAATAAGCTTTATTGAGTTCTCCCACGAATAATAAATTGTATCTACCTTACCTGTAACATTTTCAAATTAAATACGGGAATACATTAAGGTGTGAGAGACGAGAGTCCTCACTAGGATATCCTGTGCTAGGGTTTTGGATTTTTTAAATTTGATCTGATTTAGGAGTAAAAGAAATAAAAAGATAGGTGGCGGTAGTTGGCTTTCGTCTGCCTCTTAAGTATAACTTGTTATTTCTTTAATTTTAGTAAATTGAGTATAACCTAGTTATACTTTTTTGCAATACCTGTAAAAGTTGCTAAGTATGTATAATAAGATCCTATTGTACACTCAATTGGCAAATAAATACTTAAATAGCTATTATTACTATTTATTGTTACATGTACCTAATGTTATGTTAATAAAGTTATGCCTCGTAAACGTATTAAAATTTTTAAAAGATAAACTTCCGGGTCTTTTGTTCCTTGTTCCCAGAGATGTATGTTCCTTCCGAAGTAGTGGTAGCTTGTTTTGATTTTCAATAAGTTGTACAATGTACATTAGGTCCGTTGAATAAAATATTTAAGCTTTAAACTAATAAGTAACCTAACCGTATAAAAATATATACTGTCAAAGTTTATTGCAAAATATATTATAAATAATATGTTGTGATTATATATTCGAAAAAAATAACTATAGTTTTCATTATATCATTCACTGTACGAGTAACAGTATACACTACGAATATATTTTAGGTTATATTGAGTATTTTAATTATAGATTAATAAATTTTAATCATATATTGCATTGTATAAATGGAAGATATACATTATTATTATACTTAAATAATTATATGATTGATTTATATTACACAATATGTATTAAGCAATATATTTCTTTAAATATTTTTATGATACATCGAAAAATATATCTTTACTAAGTATAATTAAATATATTTTAGCATAAACAATTAAGTTAATCATTTTCGATCTTTAAAAGCTTATAATTATAACTTAGTAAATAATAATAAATAGAGAGGTTTAATCATAGAAATCAAAGCTTTTTTCACGTAAACGAATACAAGTTTAATTAAATTATACGCAATCCACACTTGGAAAATAATTTTATCTACTTAAAAATATATTTATAAAGATATTATATTTTAAAACATGTTAAAAGATATAAGAGCCAAAATATATGAATAATAAATACCTTACTTATTGATTCATATATGATAATATAGTATATACCTACGTGAAATTATATATAAAATTTTTAAAAAAAATTAGTATATTTTTCAGTATATGGTTTTCTCACGTGGCTGGGGGAGGAAGGGGTAAAATTATGGTTGGCCCCGGGCGAGAAAATCCCATGCTACGCCACTGTGGCATGTGCTAAGGAATTCCCGTGTCCTTCTCTTGGATAAATAGTTATTTATTATGACGATTATTTAGTATTTTTATGATAATTATTTAGTATTTTTGGTGACGACTGACTGATCAAACTGTTTGTCGTACGCGCTTGAAAGCTACAGGCCCTGGTGAACGGTCTCCACTCGGACTTAGGGTTTACCTTGTAAGGTAAACCCTAAGTCATCTGACTGACTACATACGAGTAGACATGTAACTGGATAGAAGAACTGTAGTTTTTCTGTTGTCATGTTTATTAAAAGTGAATAAAGGAACAACTAGCCATCCATCCAGCTAGCCATCTAGAGAAGATTACAGCGAGTGGGTGCGCAAACTCAGGTTCTAGGTATTCTCTGACGCGACGGTAATCCGACACGACCGGAAAAAAGATAAGGCGCGGGACCAACGGCTTTACGTACTTTCCGAGGCACGGGGTGAAGCTCCGCCATCTTCCGGACACCGGACTGCTACTGAAAATTTCTTGACAGCGAAACTCAATAACTGATTTTTTAGCCTGCTCCTTGCTGGACTATAATTTCCGAGAATTTTTTTGGCCTCACCAGTGCTAGTTAATGTACTTACTAATTATAATTTTCAGAATGGATGAACTGTTTTTATTTTGCTTAATTAAGTTAATACGGGATTTTGTGTACGCAAGTCCTACTCGCAACTATCAGTTTTTTTTTAGAATTACCGACAGTCAATTGACATCATAATGCTAACTTAAAAATAACAGGCCAACATGTGTATCTAATTTGGGCCTAGTTTTTTAAATCTAAGAAAAGTTAAATACTTATGTTTTTTCCAAAATGTGTTTGAGGAAAAAAATTTTAAAGTATTAAATTGTTAATTTTTCTTATTTCCAATATTGTATTACAACATTATAGTGCCGACCGCAATCGTCTGGGGTTCAAATACGGCATTTGACTACTCTAGTGAACTACTCCTAACACAAACGTAGCAAGCTTACTAGGAGTTTAAAAGGAATATTGTTTATGTTAATATCATTGCTAACTTTTTTTTTAAATCAATGAAAAATTTATATTGCAATCTAAACAAGTGTTCAACTTGTTTTTATTTTCGACGGTTTTACGATTTTTACATAGCACATAAAATGTCATTTTAGTCATTAGTTTAGGGATTAAAAAAAACGACGTTATTAGACGCTGAAATAGACATAATAGTCGTATTAACGGTCGAGTTTACAAAAAAATCATAAAACAGCTACTTTTGCGCTTAAACTGTAGGTATATCTTTAAGCTTTATAATATTTCTCTACCGATGGAGAAAGCAAAATAAAACGTTAGTCATTTGTTGTATAAAAATTAAAATTGAGCACTTGTTGGCACCTTAAATTTTATTTACCGATTTCACCAACGACGTCAAATTATCAAATTTGTTTAAAGACGCGTTGTCCTTTTTAAGCGTTCAAGATGCTGCATATACGTTGCTAAAAGAGTTTATCTTATTATACAACCGATTAGAAAATATTGTGAAATTGTTTTTTCACACAATTAATTAACCTTGTCGCACTTTATGTAGAAATTATAAAATTATAGTCATTGAACGTAGTACGAGGGATAGAATTTTACAGCAGTATATTTTCTCTTGTAAAACGTCTCGTACGGTTGGGATCTTTAAGAATTTATTCGATTTTTATACATACGTATACTATCGTAAACAATGGATGATGGAACATAATATCCGTTTTAGTGTCTTAGAATACGAATTTATTGACAAACTAATTAAATATACTTACTGTAATAGACGTATACTGGTTGATTTGCTGTCAAGTGCGGATTTATTATTTTTTTACATGACAAATGTTATTGACCGTCCACTGTTACTCTTTAGTATTAAATTTATTATATTTAACTTAACAAATTAAAATTTTCAGTTTTTTTTTCTTAAAGTGGTATATGGTAAAAGAAAAATAATTTAAATCGGATTAACTGTTTCTGAAAAATGAGTGTACATATTATGTAAGAAAATAGCGCCTCGTATAACTCAAAAGCAGTTTGGAGGTTTATTTCTTGGTTTTTACAGTTATCGTCTTAGTTCTTCTCTTTTTAAGTTTTTGACCGAAATGGAAAGATATCAGCATTTTTTTAAATATAAAACTGAAGCCATAAACAAACTTACATTCCACCTGATAAGAAGTGGCCACCGTAGTTCAACGAAGAAGGCCAGGGTACTTACTAGCTAGGTCAGTATTAAAAAATCTAAGTTTTTAAAGAAACCTTCAGTATCGCACTACGTATGTATCGTAACCTTGTCGCACTTTATGTAGAAATTATATAAATATTTATAAAGTTATTATATAATAAATGAATATATAATGAATTGATATTATGTTAAATATTATTACCTTAAATAAATATTTTCGAGTCTTGTAGTTTGTTCATAATGTTTATAGTTGCTAGGATATAAGCAAATCATCTTAGACGAGTATTTATTGAAATCCATTAACGGCACTAACGGGTAAGTAATCAGACATGCTTAAAGCATTTCGATAAAACAATGCGTTTATTATAATAGCAGTTATCTTTGTTATTTATGCGACCGCTGCATTCTGTGACGATGGATGGTGATGTTGGTCAAATATTGCGCAAAGATACCTGAAATAAGAGTTTATTGAAAAAATATCTGCCGAGAGATCAGCCTAACATTTATCAACATTTTGTCCTTAATTATTTGCAAACTTGTTTTATTCTTTTAAATATTCTTGTTATTAGTAACAAAAATAAACTTTAGTTAATCATAATAAATGTTATATCTTAATAAATCGCTTTTAACGATTGAGTTTTAGTTATGTACTATCAATAATTATCCCTGTCGGTGTCCGTAAAGTCCAACTACGCAAGGGTGTTACGACACGATTCTCACTGTGAATAAATTGGTTGAAATATGCGACGAGGATATTCTTGACGTGGTTCTATGTGAACATGTGAACTTGACCTAATTCTTCACGTGGTCAACTCAAGCAGAAAATTAACAGTCTAAAAATAATCCAATGTACTTACTAAATTTAACTTAACCACCACCAAACGTACTATACGTTTGGTGGTGGTTAAGTTAAATTTAACGATATTATTTTAAAAAATATGATAATTTAGACTAATATGGTTAAAATTAAGGTTAAAATCATTATTTGTTACCAAACTGTTGTGTGAAATTGAAAACAACACAGCAGTGAAGAGATAGAAATGAAATAGAATAGACAGTGAGGACATATATATATATATATATATATATATATATATATATATATATATATATATTATAACTTATATATTATAACTTATCCGTTAAGAATTAAAATGCGTTCTTACGAAGAAAAACACAAAAATCTTAACGTACACATAGCTATACCCTTCTTGTTTCATCTTTAGATACGTCCGAGAAACCCGCATCACGAACGTCAATTTTTAGCGCAGGAGTTGAACCTCTACACGCGAGAGAGGGGCTGCTTGATAAATACACAAGCGCGAGACTATCAGAGGCAGTCGCAACGGTGGTCACCTCGGTACCAAAATGAGGACGCTGGCGATCACGGTGAGTGTAACTAGTGACGTGCTGTGATGTTTTATTTTCAATTTAGCTTAATAGTGCATTACGGCTGCAACTTTATTCTTAATTTTTTAATTAGATTTTTTAATGTGCATAATATATGTTTGTTCAAAACAGGTTCAGAGTTCATTTACAATTTAGAGCAAATAAAAATAAGTAGCGTGAGATAAAAAATAAAATACAAGCGTATAAATAAGTAATTGAATTCCAAACGTTAAAAATAAACAATTAGAGAAACATTATTCTTGCAACAAAGAGCTATAGGAATTGCAGATCAGATGAAGGGGATTTGTCCGTGTTTTATTGTGTAATCCGGTTATATCTCGATTAGCTATAAATATTATATAGCTACTGTTAATAAAATTAATTTACACATAAAAGTGAAATTGTTATACAATTGCAAACTGTATGTTGTATATCAGCTGAAAATAATTACGAAATTTCATAATAAGATTTTATTAATTTTTCTTATCGTTCTATTTCCTTTTTACGCAAATATTATATTAGTATAGTCATTGTTTTTGAACTTTCAATTGAATCCCCGTATAGTTATGGATAGCTTAAATAAGGTTTTAGGTGATCTCTTTGATATTATGTTAAGAATATACAATTTTTTTCATAACGAAAGCAAGATGAGGTTTGCTTTATACCGTTTATAAAGTTTGTTTTTCGATATGATGTCAAATATGTTTAGTGTAAGCAGATTGACGGAATAAAAAATTATTTTTATTAAGTGTTTAATTTGAATTCAAATATTTTTTTCCTTTCAGATGTGTTTGGTGCTTGCACTTGCAGCTACGATAGCCGTACCTATTAAGGATGTCGGCAACGACCCTCAATCGACCAGGGAGAAGCGCTCACCGAGCGACTGGCATTCAGAACCGGAGGGAGTTTGGAAGAAAAAGCTCGTCTGGCAGGAAGAGTGGAAACAAATTTGGAAAACTGAAAAGAAATTAGTTTGGAAAACGGTTGAAGTGCCAGCATGGAAAAAAAGTGTGGAAACCAGTTTGGAAGAAGGTTTGGATTCCAATCCACCATGAACACGACGGATGGGATTGAAAGTGCAAACGAAACCTGATTTTCTGTACATATAGAAATATTTAAAACATAGTCATTTGTTAACTAATTGTTACCACAAGAACCCAAGATATATTTGTTTGATAGTTTTGTAAATATATTAAAATACTCGATAATATCTGTGGTGCTGGTATGTAAACATACAAATAACTTTAGCGGTAGGCGTACGCGAAGCAAATACCTTTGTTTTGCTTTATGCGAATTTTTGTGGATCTAAGTTTTCGCCAGCGAATCCGAAATATAATATTTTAGCTTTGCGTGCGCCTAGAAAGTGAACACAGTGCGTTATTAAAACATGAAATATTCGTTTATTTTTATAAATACCGTGTATTTAAATTGTGTTCATTTTCTAAGGATAGAGTTAAGTTAAGTATATCTTATATTTTAATCCTGACTCTCATTGTACAAATTTCAACTGTGAAGAGCCTCTTTCAGAAGCGAGTATTATATTTTAAATTATTTTGATTTTACTCACTAGAAACACAACTCTATTCATCATTCTATAAAATTATTAAAACAGTTTTGTATTACCGTAAGATTAAAGCTGCGATGTCTGTACTTAGTACCATGGAGCAAATAAGAGAGGGCTAAAAAGTTAAAACTCAATTCAATATTTCGAAATATTATACTACTATTTAAGTACATGTAAGTTTTAATTACACTTATGTACTTTATAGACAATTTTGTTTCTTCAAAATTTTAGTACTCTTTTGTTATTTAAAGCCATTTTTATTTTTGCCGTAGTAACCATACTTACACAGGGACCTTTAATTCTATCAGTTAAATACTGTGATCGACTTAAAATCAAGCGACCATCGACCTTTAAATTCAAATACTTAATATATTATTTTAATTTTTAAAATAAAAAGTAACACTTATGTATTAAAGATTACCTTTATTCAATTCCACAAAGTTTAAGACAAAAAGGTCAATAGTTAAAAGCAAATCAAGGTTTTTTTTCATAAATAATATAATTTATGATAAAAAAAGAAAGAAAAAATTGTTTCCAAGATACATAATTCACAACACAAGCACAACTCGGCAGTTGGGGTATTACTTAAACCTTGAATGGTTTAAGTATAAGTAGAGGAGGCTCTAAATTTTTTTAAGTTACCAAATATTTTTAATTGTTTATTTTTTAATTTTATGAATAATGATTTTCTAGTGAAAAAGTTGCGAACAGGATGTAAGAGGTATATAGGAGGACTACAGTGTTGATTTTTTTATGTTTTACAATATATTTCTACGTTTTTTCATTTTTGAGAAAATATACATGTTAACAGTAAAATGGTTTTTAATTATCCCTCATATCATACTAAGTTTTCAGTATACGCTTAGATTTATAGAGTTTATTTGTTATATTTTTTAAATCCTACACACACACACACACACACACACACACACACACACACACACACACATATATATATATATATATATATATATATATATATATATATATATATATATATATATATATAACAGAAGTGTAAAAGGGACTTATAGTTCATCTAATGCAATTAATGGATATCTGCACCCAGCTTCAAACAAAGAAGGCTGCAGGTATGTTGCCACTTTTGAGGCCTAAAATAGAATACATGAGGTATGAACATAGAATACCTCGTAGCTCATAATTATTCCCTTACCCTTACGAGTACGAGTACCTTACGAGTACAGCTGTGTAGGCACCAGTCGGGCTCCAAGCAGAAAAGCAGCCCTGACTAATACTAGGTAGTAAATTGAATGAAATGAATTGTGAAAAAATAACAAAGTACTTCGTAGAAAGCTAATCAAAGAATGGTATGTAATTACCAGATTTCTTACTGTTTTTTGCGACCATTCCATTTCATTAAAAAAAAGAAAAGAAAGGTAGTTTTAATCAATAAGTAACTCCGAGACGCCACTGAAAATGGGATAGAAAAAAAATGGAATAAAACCCCGTGTAAATTCTATTTATAATTTGTTAATTCTAAATAAATCATATAAATACAGGAACATTTACAAAGTATCAAAATTATAGTTCTGTTCAGTGTAACTACTACTGTAACTTCTATTTCAACTTACGCTGATTACCAATATGTAGTTATTTTAAATCGAATCCCGCATGGAACGAGCATTTGTATGACCTAAAAATATGTTTACCGTGTTTAGATGTGTGTTCTTGTAAAATTTATGCATATAAGCTGCCTCCACGATACAGGAGAAAATCCTAAAAAAATATAGGTCGAAGTTAATTGATGAATCGAGGTTGATTCAAACCTAAGTGTGGTATATGGAACTGTGCCCGTAGAAGGAAAAGGAGAGATCTCCCGCCGGGCAAGGTGTTCTGCCCGGGGAGCGGCCGACACTCCGTGTGTTCGGAGATGTTCTATATATACTGTTTATGATTCGGAATTTTGATAGCGCGATTTAGGCTTCGGTGTTTTTCGCTTGTGGCGCGACGTTAGCGCCGCCACATCACCCCCTGCTCAGACTGGAGGTCGATAGTGCAGCCTCGTTGTCGACGAATGTGCAAGTGCCAGGAGATTGCCTTCTAGTCTGCGGTTAGTCGAGAAGAAGGCAAGTAATCTGCGAGAGTGCCGTGAAGCAGAGGCAGAGCAGTGAGGCTCAGAGCCGTGCCGAACACTATATAGCGCAGAGAGCAGCTTGAAGGAACAGGAAGCATTATTATTTAAGTGCTGCGATTAACCTTGTGAAGCTAGATGGCTTGCAGGATACGAAGACTGCAGACGATATCTGATCGGGAGCGAATGGATGGGGTATTTGAGGATGATGAAGCTTGAAGTTTCCGAAGGTTGTTGGTTGCGTGTTCAGATCACGTCGGTTGTTCACCAGTTTGGCAGTGGAAGGAAAAGGGGGATCTCCTGCCGGGCAAGGTGTTCTGCCCTGGGAGCCGCCAACACTCCGTGTTATAGTTCGGAGATGTTCTATATATACTGTTTATAATTCGGAATTTTGATAGAGCGATTTAGGCTTCGGTGTTTTTCGCTTGTGGCGCGACGTTAGCGCCGCCACAGAACAAATGTTTTATAGGTAGTCTTAAGCATTTGTGCTATTTGGTAAAGTGACTAAGGGCCCCCGCGTTACTAATCTACAACTGCGCGGTGGGACTAATCTGGAGGCGTGGAGCGGCCTTGTTTTTCAAGAAAAACAAGAACACTCTCTTGAAGAACAACAAGCCGATTTACCTTCTGAGCCTCGTCTACGTGCTGTTTTCAAAAGTCACTCACGCAGACTCGACGACTTCCAGCATCCCGAACAAGCCGATTTCCGAAAAGGCTTTAGTACTATAGACCACATACATTTATACTACACCTTTTTATTACTATACCTTTGGCAAATTGCACAGAAGACCGAAAAGTGCAATCTGCAACTTTGCCTTGCGTATGTGAACTATGAGAAAGCCTTTGATTTCGTCGAAATTTAAGCTACAGTCCCTATGTCGGAGCCAAGTTAACTGTCAGTATATCAAAGGGCTGAAGTGTTTGAACAGTAGGGCTACGATGGCTTTCCGAGTACAGAACCAGAGTACGAAACCTATCCGACAGCAGAGAAGTGTAATACAGAGTGATGTTATATCACCCAAAACTCTTTAACGCTGCATTAGAAGACGTTTTCAAGCTACTGGACTGGAAAGGATACGGCATTAACATCAATGGCGAGTACATCATTCACCTTCAATCTGCCGACGATATAATCCTAATGGCAGAATCGATGAAGGAACCTATGCTTAATGACAGCAATAGTATCTAACGGATAGGTCTTAAGATGAACATGAACAAAACAATGATAATGTGTAACGTCCATGTCACGTCTACGCTGGTAGTCGTTGGGAGCACTAAGCTCGAAGTTGTTGATGAGTATGTTTTCCTGGGACAAATAGTCTGACTAATAAGCCAAACTTCGACTGAGAGGTCGATCCGATTGACCTCTCAGTCAAAGTTCGGAAGAAGAATCGGACGGATTCAACTCAACTGGGCAGCGTTCGGGAAATTACGACACATCTTCTCTCGAGGTATTCAAAACCTGAAAACAAGACTTTAGAACCAGTGCGTATTGCCAGTGATGACTTATGGTTCTCATACGTGGTCTTTCACTGCTGGCGGTATGAGGAAGCTCAAGGTTGCTCAGGGACTTTGGAGAGGGTTATTGTCGGGGTTCTCTGCGTGATAAACTTTGAAAGTAAATCCGCAGTAGAACCAGAGTTACCGATATATCCCAACGGGTTAGTAAGCTAATGTGGCAATGGACCGGCCATATAGTTTGAAGAAATGTCAACCGATGGAGAGACAAAGGTTCTAGAGTGGTAGCCTCTCACCGGTAGGTGAAGTGTAGGATGAACCCCCACTAGATGGTGTGACGATCTGATAAGACATGCAGGAAGTCGATGGATGCAGGTGGTTCAGGACTGAGCTTTGTAAAATTACTTGGGGGGAGGCCTTTGTTTAGCAGTGCACTTATGAAGGGTTGTAATGATGATGATGATGATGATGATAATGTGTAACCTACTGTTATTCTGCAGATTAACTAGGAAGTTGGTATATACATTATATATTACAAATATATTACAATATATTATAAACAGACGCTCAATTTTATTTATACTTATGTATTTATATTTAAATGGTAGTTCATATTTTTTTAAATAATATGCTAAAATAGGAGAGCATGGACGCAGATGGCAATATTGAATTTAAGATATGTATGTGTATGTGTGGTGGCGACAGAAGACTAAATTTTTTGCTCACTTTTACCCCAAGCTTAATGAATATACAAAATTAAAATTGATTGTGTGAGAGGTCAGTGGTGTCACAGTAAAGACTCAGTTAATAAATTAAATAAATAAATACTACACGTTGTAATCGACCAATTAAAAGATTACGATACTCTTCGCAATATGCTATCAATTACGACAGTACTGCCTACCAGTCGAGCTACTCCACTCCTTTGAATTAATGGGCGT